GTTTCCTGTTAGCTTACCAGAAATTAACAAAAGAAGGTAGAATTTTCCACACGTAACGGAAGACGAGATAGAAAAATGAATTTACACACGCGGCAAAAAAATATAACAGAATGGAGAAAAGGTTTGGAATATTATTTACAAGTTGAAGAGTCATTGATGAGTATGAATAGGCTTAAACGCCTTATTTACAAAATAAAAGTTCAAAATATTAGGCTTAGTCTACGTGTTTCTTTAAAAAAATTTAAAATCTATCATAAATGAAACTTTGAAGCTATAATCTTACAATGAACTTAACAATCCAATCAAAAAATCCATTGTTTTCCAACACAATACGAAACAATTGCCATCAATTCTTTCAAATTCAATTCAATCTATCTCCGATCGATCTAATTCAAATCACGACAACCTCATTCAATCAAAATGATCCCAAACATCGATGATACTCAAGCTAAACAGACTCGATGATGAAAGTGAATTTTAAAAGCAAATGTAAGAGCATATCGAGATGAATATAACAAAAGGATTGAGAAAGTAAAAGGAAAATGATGTAAAAAAAGCAATTCAAGGTCGCTATTGACAATGGCAAAAGGAAGGAAGAAAGCGAAAATTTGATGAATGAATAAGATGAGATGTCAAGAGGATGAAATTAAATTTCGATATTTTTATTTGGATCACGAAGATTGAAAAAGTTTGATGGATTTTCAGAGAATCTGATGAATTTTTTATTTGCTCACTTGAAAATGATGTTAGTTCCATAGGGTGGATGGTGTCGAGTATTCTCAGAATTTGAAGAAAATCAAAAATCTTTGAATTCTTCTTCAGGCAAACATTGGAAATGGATTATTTATAATTTTCAGTTCTGAATGTTTGAAACCTTGATTGTCTGTATCTTCTCGTTCTTTCAAACTATATTAAGCTATACAACACCACCCTTTGACAGCCAGTCAGTCGAATACTCAGTAATAAAAAAGCTTGAAGCACAATAAACTTCAAAGCTCATCCGATAAAGCAAAAAAGGGAAGAAAATATTCAACAAATAAGACAGAAACTCAATAAAGTTGAGGATTTATTTACGCGTGTTCTCGTACAAGGATGTACATAGGTTCAAATAAAGCATAAAAGGTCAAGGATTCCCAATAAATATTCGATCAGAACCGATTTACGATTCTCTCAATTGTTATTTTTATTTAAGACATTATGATTCTTATTTATGAGCTTCTTAAATCTCCTGAATGTTCAGCCGGAAGCTCGATTTGTTAAATTGTATTTTTGTGAACGATTGAGATGAATTTTCAATAATAAAATAATGGAGTTTTTATGGTTGCAAAAAGAACTTTGTATGGTTTTTGATGAGAATTATAAGCAGCTTCTTCAATTTCATGTTGCTTAGATACTTAATAGGGTGTTACTAGGCAACTTTGAGTTGTTTAATATTTATGAGATTTGATTTCATAATTTGAAATTCAGAAAAAAATGGAATTCAGATTTTTAAATATGATTGAATCTTAAAACTTTAAAATTTGAAAAATAAACTCGATTTCTTAACGTTTCCTCCAGATAACCATAATGACAAGTAAAATTAATCACTGACAATGTCTTCTTCTTGATTCACGATTAAACCTCTAAATCCAGTGTTGTCCACGGCTTATAAATGGCAGACAGTTGTTAAGTGGACAACACTGTCTTAATCTTATTACTAATAAACCAAAATCCTTTTAAAAATACTAATTCTATCAAAATCCTCTTTAATAGATTTTTCTGAAGACTCTCTTGTCACACTTGAGGATATCCGGCAAATTTCTCTTGCTTACAAAACAGGTGAATTTTATTCATGCTGGCAATCAATCTGCTGAACGGAAGGTTTGCAAGTTAAAATCAATATTTTGTTTTAATTGAGGTTATAAAGCATTTTTGGCTGTGCTAAGTTTTAAACTTTTGAAATTTTTGTATCCTCTTTTTAAAATCCTGCTCAACACAACCCATTTTACCTTAGTTTTGCTACATAACCCAAAGTGACTCCAAAACTTCAACAACCTAAAATCAAAAGTCACTCAAAACTAATCCATTTATCCATTCAATGATCATTTTAACACCTTAAGCCTTAAAAGCATTCTTTTTACAGAATGGATGTGATGATTAAGGATTTGCCAGGTATGGTGCTAAGCAACGTAATAGGATTTTCGTTCCCTTTTATGAATGAAGCTTGGCTTTTCTTAGCAGATTTTGGTCAAAAGATGTAAACGTAAAGGTTATTATGTTCAATCTTGTGGAAAATAATTATGACTTGTTGAGGATTTGGGTGAATGAATGAAGAGTTCTTGGATATATTGACTGTCAGCTCTCGCTATTGAGATGATAATTAGTTATAAGTATTATCGGATGCTGTGATTAAATGGTCCTTAAACTGATATGGTCAACTTTGTGGAATGATACCTGACCACAAAAAGTGCAACTGATCTAAAAGAATGATGTTATGTCTATTTAAGGAACCTCATTTTGACATCTCTAAATGCTCATTTCCAACAAATAAGATTTATACTGAACCTAAATTGCTGCATTGTTCAAAGTAAGCTTCTTAAATGAAGTCATTGTACTAAATAATGCAACATTATGATCAAAATTATTCCTCAGAATTCATAATTGACCCAGAATTTTCAGAGATTAAATTGTATAAAAAGCAAATTTGCAGCATAATTAGAGAACTTAATGAATGCACAAGTAAGCTTACTTGAGCTTATTAAATTAAATTCATTAAATTATTTGCAGCACAATTTACTGTTTATGAAGCTGTGGATTTGCTTGATGTTCATTGTTGTTGCTGTTAATTAAATGAAGTTGGAAAATTTTTCTTTTGATGAAAGTTTTTTTTTCTTTTCTGTTTGTAGTGCAAAGTGGGGTGCGTTTGGTTGTAGATAAGGAGTGAGGAACAAAGAGCAGTTGTGCATTTACATTTCTAAAGTATTTTTGCAGTACAGCTTGCCAGTTTTTTTAATTATTTAAAAATTGAGATTTAAAAACTTTTAATTTTATAAATTGTTGATTTTTAAAATCATGAAAAATCAGAGTTTGAAAATAAAATGAAAATTGCTCTATTTTGAAAATAAATCAAAATGAAAATTATGAAAATTGCCAATTTTGATCAAAGCAATTTTGCAATTTTGTCAATTTCAGAAAATTGTTATTTTGGAAATTGTTTATTTTCGAAAATTGCAATTTTGGAAATTATCAATTTTCAATTTTGTGACGTCACAAAATTTCTTCGGGAATTTTGTATGAAAATTTTCATATGAATTGATGACTTTATGCTTGAGACTTTCCTTGATTTTTAATCAAAACCATTATCAGCAATCATAGCAGCAAATGATGAATATTAATAACGAATCATAAGTACTATGCTATATGAGATATCCCATATGGAACTGGTTATGTCCAACTGACTGGAACTGCCAAAAAAAATTTTATTTGTTTTCTATACTTTTTAGACACTTTCAGGCATGGGGTGGAACCAGGCACTTCCTCTACTTCCAGATCTGATTTTAGGTGCTAACTATACCAGGGAGGTTAAAAAAAATCAGGTTAGCAAATAAGTTCGGAAAATTCAGCAGTTCCTCTCCCCTAATAAAATTTACATCGAACATGTTTTTCATACATTTTCAGAAATGAATTTTTTTTTTGATAATCATGTCTGTATGGTGATGCAGCATTATGAGTACCTTTAATTTAAAATAAACTTAAAGGAACAACGCATCAAACACGCAGGAATTAGCAAGTATTAAGTTAAAAACGAATATCAACATCCAGGAAATAAACTGTATCTTTTGTTTTTCTGAAGAAAAAATTCATTTAAAAAGAAGAAAATTTTCATACAAAATTATTCATCAAATATTTATGACGTCACAAAAATAAAAATTGATAATTTCCAAAATTGCAATTTTGGAAAATAAACAATTTCCAAAATTGCAATTTTCTGAAATTGACAAAATTGCAAAATTGCTTTGATCAAAATTGGCAATTTTCATAATTTTCATTTTGATTTATTTTCAAAATAGAGCAATTTTCATTTTATTTTCAAACTCTGTGAAAAATTGATCTGCAAGCATTTTTAAAAGACGTTAAGTTCCCAAAATGTGCAATTTTATTCTCATTCACATGGATGCAACTTATTGTTTCAAAACCAAGCGATCTTGATCCCCTTAAAAGAATCTACTTAATGAAAATTACTGAAACAAAACGAAATGCTCGAGGAAATAAAAAAAAATATTAGAATCAATATTTTCAGATTTTTTACGATTCATTTGATCTCTCAAATACAATTATTCCAATCAATCAGATTCAATTTCCTCACAATAATTGTATCATGTTACAGCAACAGTTACAACTTTTTGCTCGTTTGCTTCTTTTTTGTGAGTGATTTTTTGCGACTTCACTTCCAATTTCGCATGAGTTTTGAAATCGAGCAATGCCAAAAGAAATTCCAAAGAATAAATTCGAGACGTTTGTCGTCAAATAATGCAGAGATTTTTCAAGTCCAAGGAATTTTCAAGAGACACAAAAGAATTTTTTAAGTCAATTTGAGATGAAGAATCAAAAGGTCTAGGAGCAATGTAAGGAAGCGAATGAAATTTTATACAGGCAAAGTCGAGGCTTTGAGATGAAAATTTGATATTTTTTCACAGAATTTGCTCGAGATATTTTAGGAGATTAAAGTAAATGGCAGGTGTAGGAAAACTTAGACAATATTGAATTTGATGTTGGTATTAAATTTATCATGCATCCTCAAAGATGAAGGCAGAAACTTGTTAGTCAATCTTTCAATCCTTTTTACACAGGACGTACATAATCAGACCCTAAGGACCCCTCCAAGTTGTTCAAATTTTAACAAAAGTCATAAAATTTCTTAAGAAGAGAACCAAAAATTTCCGCATTTTTACATCCAAGAAAAGCTTCCCCGTCCTGTCGTTCTCAAAAGACATTTAATTTAATATAAAAAGTAAACTCACCTTTTTTCATGCGTCCTTAAAAAAAATTCAATTTTCATCCATTCCGATTATCTGCTTACACTTTTTATCCCCTCCGTTACTGTCTTTTGTGTATCATCAACTATAATTCTATTAAATTATCATCTTTTTTTAAGCCACAAAATCTCTCGTCTACTTTTTTTTGCCGTTGAATTTTATTTTTTATTCTTCTTCTGCTTGATGTTCGAGTTCCGGCAAAATTCACAATTTCTTCTTTTGCTTTTGCTGACAGAAATTTTTATGTGATCTGTTTGGTTATCTTTACGGTCCAAGTATTCTTTCGACTTTGTTTTGAAAACGAATTTTGTGATTTTTTAACGACAACTTTTGTTTTTCTAAAGAATATTTTTGAATATGATGAATTTGTGTTGAATTTTTTGGAACTGAAAGAAATTCGTTGTGTGCTTGCATGTGGAAATTTCAGAAGAGTGGAACTCTAAGGCTATTAAAATGGCGGTTGACTGGATAGGACTTGAGAATATTGATTTTATTTTGGGTCAAACCTTTACTTCAACCTCCCTTGTACCCCCTGATTCTAATCACAGTTTAATTAGACACGCCCTAAAAAAATTTCATCTCCAGCACTTCCTCCTACAGTTCCATTCACATGAACATCCGTTTTGTAGGCTCACAAATTAGAACATCAAGCTGTGATTTTAATAAAAATAGATGGAAGCAAAACACGACAACGAATACGGCATTTGCATTCAGATTGCCACTTTTCCTTTGTGCTTGACAGAGATTTCCCTACTGCCGTAAAAGCTTACTGTGCCACTTTATTTGTTCAACTCGTTAGTGCCTCATGTGAAGATTCTTTTTTGTCATGCATACTTTTTGGGTTATTTTTATTTGTGAAAATGATAATAATGAGGAGATGATGTCGGATATGGTAAATAGGCTGAATGTGGAGCGAATTTGGGTTAATTTTGGATGTGATATAAGAGATCTGAATAAATAACAGCCAATTATATGAAAATATTCAGAATTCCTCTCATTTTTGGCATATCAACCCCATCCCTATCTTTGTGAATTCCAATGAAATTCCTCACATTCCACAATTCAACCTATTAATTCATAATCATTATTGTTTTAGCTTCTTTGTTCTCATTCATTCCAAACGCAGTCAAGAATGCCTGTCATCATCATGACACAGCAATTTTAATTTTCTTTTCCTTTTATAAGCAGCAGCTCAATTCAAATTGACTACAAATGTGATGAATGTTCGTTTTTGGGAGTGAGGAGTAAGGCAGCCACCCACTTCACAATTTCATTTCGATTTTCTGTTATGATTAGTTTGATTGCTGTAACTTTTTCGCTAATTGCTTCCTCGTTCCATAACATTTTGTAAATGTTTGATGATTAAAGGAAACTAATTAGTAAAATTCATGTTTAATTTGTTATTTACTAGTTTTGATTATTCGTTAGGGAAGTGTGATGTGTCTTCAGGGGATGATTAGCAATTTTAGGAGCATAAATAATATATTTATTGGATTAAATCGTGATCTAATAGATCATATGGTGGTAAAATAACAATTTTGGCTTAAACAAAATTGAAAAAAAAATATTCCAAACAGACAGGCGTGGAGTCAAACATTTGAAGAGGGGGAACGCAAAATTTTTTGGATTGAACAACTGTTGATTAAGGATTTTTCATAAAAAGCATTACATAATGAAGAAATATCTGTAGACGTAAGGTGGCTTGGTCCTCTGAATTCTCACCCTTTCCTTAGCTACGTGTCTGCTGACAGACAAATTTGAAAAACTATATAGCAATCCAACTTAATGCGCGTTTTCTACAGCACTTGTCACTGCTTTTGACATTTCCTTTGATTTTCTTCTATTTTTTACTGTAAAACCTGTACTGAATTGTTGCTAGTCATTTCCATAGAAAAAAAAAAATCTTCATATTCACGCTTATGTCGTGTGTCAACGAACATTATATTATGTATTTTCAAGTGTATTCAAGGTGTATTAAGGTTGAGTGCTCACTACTGAAGTTATTACTTTGCATACATTGACGTGACATTAAATGAGATCTTCAGAGAATTTTTTTTTCTCTTTGAATTTAACTTTTTAGAGATTGACGATGAAAAATTAAAGTATAGAGTGGGAAAACTAAAAAGTTTTAGAAGATAAAGTTGGTAATAAATTTTATAAGCATGTTGGGGATGTAATTATAGTTTTATTAAACATTATATTTCCATCAAAAAGTCATAAATTATGTTTATGAGTCTGGTGATATGGTAATGTGAATACTATGTTGATATATTTTTATTAATTAGGGATTTATGTTCGCAAATGAGATATGTTATGGCAAGAATCGTCAATCCTTACTCCCTTTGATGACTTTGAGTTTCTTAAACCTTCAAAGCAATCTCAGTCAATCTTGTCCAATCGAATTCTTCCATATTATAACCCAAAACACCAACACTCATCTCCACAAATCATAACATCGGACAATGAGTTAATAGCCCATCCTGAATGAGCATTTAGTTCCATTATTGTCAACTTTATTACACACTTTATCTCACCAAGGTGCTCAAGAGTACGTAAAACCACTCAATGACACTCTCAGATAAATTCACACCAACAAAAGCAGAACAAAACTAAAACAAATTTTCATGCTGTTAGTTCAAAGTTTATCATGCAGAAGTAATGAACTTGTGGTAATTTGTACAACATGAGAATCATACAACATTAAACTTTATTAGACAACTTGAACAAGCTTTTTGATATTGAAATTCATAAGAACACACGCGTAGAAAAACATATAAAATAATTTGTACATGCATGATCTGGTTGTTTCGCATTTGCGGATATCATGAAAATTTAATGCGATCTTTATCGCTTTTGCTGATGCTGAGATGGTGTTAAGCTTGTAGATGGTTTGGTTGATTTTGTTTTTTTTTTAAGAACGTTAAACAGATAAAAAGACTACAACTTAGGTTTTCCCTAAAATAAAAAAGCGCGTTCTGTCATAAAATTTCAATACTCTCTTAGTTGTATATTTTTAAATCAAAATCCATTTTACTTTTTGTTTTGGTTTGCTTATGTCATTTGGGATTTGTCGGAATTGTCTGCTCTTTTTGGTGTCATTTTTTGTAATTTTTCAAAAGGATTTGTAAGAATGAGTTGGAATGATCCTGCAAAATCTGAGATATAAGCACGAGATTTTACCTTTTATGGAGGTTTTTGATGCTTGAGATTCTTAAAATTGAATTTTAAAATTAAACTTTATTAGTAAGATGGTCAAAAATAAGTAAGGAGTATAAAGCGCATTTTTGTGCAAGTATACTTTGTGCATTAGTCTTAAAATTTCAATAAAAATCCATTAAAATCAACATCCATTAGTATATATTTATTCAGCAATAAATCTCAATATCCGATAATCCAGGCTTTTATTGAGAAAATCGAACGCACAGTTTCACATCATCACTATACAAATATTCAACAGAAAAAAAATCTCATCAGAAATTCCGAAAAAAAAAATCCATCTCATTACATTCACAAACATTCCAGAGAATATTCATTCTGACATTTATTTGACCAATTCTTTCGTACTTAAATGTAAGATTGAGAACAATTCTCTATAAATTAACCTCACGTTGCTACAATTTATCTCTGAAAGGGTGTCGCATTGTTTTTCTCGACAAATTAACTCTCTGCTAATGCTTTCAGCTTCCATTAGTGTCAATTTACCTCACTTATATTCAGCTCCTATTCAACTATCTCCATTTAATCCTGTAATTCATTCAAAAGAAGGAACGCAAGTAAGATGTGCAATAAGGAAAAGAGTTATGAAGTGCATTTTAGGGGTTTGTGAAATTTGAAAAAAAAAATGTAAGTTGTAAAATCTTTGCATCAAAATTTAAGCAACATAACCTCAAAAATTTGAAAAATTGACTCAACACCTTGACAAAATAGCTTCAGTCTCAAATTCTAAGCTTCCATCCTCATCCAAACATACCAATGTACAGCAACATGACTCTTCACAAGTTCAATTCAATTCCTCCCATTTCAAAGTGACACAGTTTACCATTCATTTTATTTTCCACATAATAATGCATCACATAATAGAATATGCTAGCAAAAAAGCTTACTGAATAGCAATTACATTCTATTTATAGATTAACACCTCACATTATGTGATGCTTTTAACAAAAACGAGAGCAGTTTTCAATTTTTTAAATCACTGAACCCTTTTTGTGTATGTTTTTAATTTAATTTAATGTGGCGAGCATAAAAAGGCTGAATGAATGCCTAAAGGCGATTTACTTTAAGAGTGAAGATTTTTGGTGATTTGGGGTGCGAAATAATTTTTTTTCCGGTTATGTTTGGATAAAAATTCTTGAACTTGAAAATATTTCAGCACTTTTGAGGGATTTATGATGGATTTTTGATGAAGGTTTGCTGAATTTAAGATTTATGGATCGACTTGAGCTTCCCAAAATTGAATTTTAAGCTGCCCATTTCCTGTCCAGATCCTCAATTCTCAATGACAAATTTATTCAATTTTAATCAAAGTAAAATAATTTTTATGAAAAGAAAAACTTTTTTCATCTCAATTTCAATTTAAATTTACATTTCAATTTACGAGCACACTCAATGGTTCCGTTCACATATTACGTCAATCCAAACATATTTCAGACCTTGTTATAAATTTTGAAATGAAAAATATTTTGTTTTTGCTAAACTTATATTTTCAAAATTCTAACGTAATTGAACGTAACAAGTGAATGATCCCCGAAGGAAAAAATTTCTTTCAGTTACCAAAAAATAACATAAAATTTTACACACCGATAAAAGATATACTTTTGCCCCAACCTTCACATTTTACTTCCAATATCACTTGTAGCTTCTCACTGTATGTTTATTTTTAACTCACAAAATTTTTTTTCTTCGAATTTTAAAATTTAATTTTGGATGTTAAATTTTTGATGGATTTTCCATAATTTTTGGAAACTTTTTCAACTGAATGTTTTAAATATTTTTTGATCATTTGAATTTTCAAGGATTTCCTGGTCACACTTTTGATTTTTTCAAAGTTTCAATTTAAAGTTCAAAATTACAAAGTTTTACTTTGATGTTTTTAAAATTATTTTAAATTTTAATTGAATCCAAAATTTAAAATCTCTAAAAATTTTAATTCCAAAAATTCAAATTTAATTTTTGAAACAC